AAATCCCTTTGAATTAGCTGCACTGTGAGCACAGTTTATCTGGCATAACTCCCATTCCTTACAGTCAACAGATTAACGGGCTTTAATAGCATTTGAACAATGCCGTCCCAGTAACACCTAGGCTAGGTTTAGGCTGATTAATTAGCCTTACTGACACATCAAAAGATCATCAAAAGAGAGTATGTTCTTTCATTTAAAAATATCTTCAGAACAGTAGTGTTCCAAAGACAGTCTGATCCATGGAGCAGAATGGACAGTGTCAGGATACACTTGTGTGTGTATATATGAGACCATTTATTGTGTGATGGGGTTGGGCGTGGGGTACTGTGCATGCTGGGCAAGCACCTTATTACTGTGCAACACCCCAGCCCCTTTTGTATTTTTACTTTGAAACTGAGTCTTACTAGGCTGCTCAGGTTGCACTTGAATTCCCTCTGTAGCTCTGGCAGGCCTGAAATTTAGAATTTCTGCCACGGCATCCCAAATGACTGGAATTTTATGCTTGTACCACCAGGCCATGGCTGCAATGTAGTATATCAGTAGCTCTCAATCTTTCTGATGCTGCAAACCTTTAATGCAGCTCCTCATGTTGTGGTATCCACCAACTATGAAATTATTTTTGCTGCTACTTCATAACTGTAATTTTGCTACTGTTATGAATTGTACTGTAAATATTATTGGAGACAGAGGTTTACCAAGGGTGTTGAGACCCACTGTAGTGCTGAAGTGTTCAAAGTAGCACTACAAAGGAAATGAAGGAGCCTGGAAGTGCTGACACACACCTTTAACCCCAGCTTTGAAGACAGAGGCAGGTGGAGCTCTGTTAGTTCCAGGTCATCCTGGTCTATGTGCTAGTTCCAAGCCAACCAGGGCTACATAGTGAGACTTGCCTCAAAAACAAATAGCAGCTATTAAAAAGAGAAAATTATAAATTACTTAAGTTTGGGAAGATGACTTACTTTTGTAATTTCGTGCAGGATGGAGAACGTCACTTTCCCCCTTTGTGCATCTCATCCTCTTCACATATAAGTTTATTGTATCCAAGTTGATGTGTATATTTTATAATTAGTTTGTGCAAATTGTGTATGGGTTAAATGGAGAACATTATAAAACCACTGCTAAACACAGAAACAAAAATTGAAATAACCCATAGTCCACAGCTTCTGCTCAGCGTATTCTTTCTCGCACCTGTGCCTCACCAGGATGATTTCTCCTCCAGGTGACCTCCTAAGCCATCAAAGGAACAAAGAGATTGAGCCTGTGTTCCTCCAACACTTGTGTCTTCACTGGCCCTGATGCTCTAGCAGTCTAAAGCTTCTCCAGGGCAAAGAATGTGGCCGTATCTTTCAACAATCTGTTCTCATAATCGGTGTTCAGTAAATGTTTCTTGAATTAATAAGTAAACAGAGGATCTAGGAATATTAGAGAGCATATAACGTCAGCACTGAGCTAGAGGAATTATCTCAGCCTACTTCCTGTTTTTTGTCTATCTGAGTCATATCAGGGAAAGTGGCAGGATTTGGTTTGTTTGTTTTTTTCCCCAATTGACTAACCAGCTGTAACTACCAAACTTCTGACTCCTACTTTGACCACTTTCTCCTTGTATATGTGTTATATGTTAGGGTCTTGGTGTGTATATGTTAGGGTATGTATATGTATATGATAGGGTCTTGGCATGTAGCCTAGGCTGGCCTTGGATTTTTAATTGTGCTGTGTTTTGATTTTCTTTTGTTTTGAGATGGGGTTTCACTGCGTAGTCTTGGCTGGCCTGGAACTTTGCTATACAGACTAGGCTGGCCTCAAACTCATAGAGGTCCACCTGTCTCAGCATTCTGAGTGCTGGGATTAAAGGCAGGAAACACTACACCGGGCTGGCCTTGAGTTTATTAGCTACCTCAGCCTCTTGAGTGCTTAGGCTAAAAGAATGCAGCACCTTGTCCGACATACATAGAACTATCATACTGTTTCTGCCTTTCTGAATCTTTGTTTCTCTGTCTATTTCTGTGTCTTTCCCTCTCTTGCACACACACACACACACACACACACACACACACACAGATAGCCTTTGTCATCTCTCCTCTCTGTGATTTTTTTGAAAGATGTGTGTTCTCGAATATGTATGCATATATGGAGATGTCCTGTAACTGGAGTTACAGGTGGTTGTAAGCTGCCTGACCTAGGTTCTGGTAACGGAACTTAGGTCCTCTGGAAAACCAATAAGCATTTTTTTTTGAGACAGGGTTTCTCTGGGTAGCTTTGGAGCCTTTCGTGGATCTCACTCTGTAGACCAGGCTGGCCTCAAACTCACAGAGATCTGCCTGCCTCTGCCTCCCGAGTGCTGGGATTAAAGGCGTGCGCCACCACCGCCCAGCTGCAATTCTTAAGCACTGAGTCTTAGCTCCAGACTCTAATTTTTTTTCTTTTCCTTTGAGTTAATGTCTCATGCTGCCTAGACTGGCCTTGAACACTCCTCCCCAGTATTAGGATTACAAGCGTGTACTACCATGCTTTTCTTTGTGATCTTCATAGTTTTGTCTTACTTTATAGGCCAAGATAGAAGTGCTGGAATTACAGGTAAAAGCTACCATGTCTGGCATTAATATTTGTCTTTCTACTCAATAGACTATGGAAGAGATAGATGCTAATACATTATAATCTACCAAAGTTTGAAATGACACACTGTGGGAAATAATGTCATGTTGCTCTCTTCCTTCGTAGTGGCAGTTTAGAGGAGAAAATCAGATTCAGGAAGTCTTACCTCCCCCTGTATAACACTATTGATGATTGCCACCACCTCATCAAAAAGTGGAACTGAAATGGCTGCAACAAGCTCTTTGGCATAAGATGGCAGCCACATGCTGCACATTTCTTGATAGGGAATAGCAGATATTTTGAAATCAGAAAGGGCCCTTATCTGTGTCAACCCTGCCATTTTGTTCACCAAGGTCAAGTTACTTACTCAAGTTGGCAGCGGAGCTGAGAACGGAACTCTTACCTCTGAATTTCTTGCCTGCTGTTCTGTTCTCATTTGGCTCTAGCTCTGTGCTCTAAAAGGCTCTCTTCATTAAAGTTTTATGTGAACGAGAAAGGCACAGGAAACACTGAAAGCCCTGTGCACTTCTGCTAGAGAATTTATTAGATGGTGACCTTAGCACTCGCACCAATTGAAATGCAGAAGTTTCCTAGCAACTTCAGTCTTCGGATATTGTTTTGCTTTCCTGGTGCGTGCTTATGGAAATATTTGTTGACTTGCAATAGGCGTTAAAAAAGACAGTCCCTCTAACCAACCTCTTCACTGTTAATGTAATCAAAATTAGTAAAAAAGAAGCCACCGAAATGTCATGATGTGCACCTTAAATGTGTCCAGTTTGTATTTAATAACTAATAGATACAACTACTCCTGGTAGCAGTGTTATCAATATTTATTCTTATAATATTAGTGTTGTAGTAGTATTACAACAACCCAAAACAATATTTTCAGTACTTGTGATTTGCTATCAATAGACATTGCAGGTATTTTCATGTAACAGATCTACCTTAAGTATCTCGAAATACCATTCACATATATCACCAATGGAATTCTGCTAGTTCTTAAACATGGTACTGCATACTAATGTGCTAATAAAAATTATCACACACACATACACACACACAGCTGGGTGGTGGTGGTGCATGCCTCTAGTCCCACTCCGAAGGCAGAGGCAGTGGATCTCTATGAGTTCGAGGCCAGCCTGGTCTACAGAGCAAGATCCAGGACAGGCACCAAAACTACACAGAGAAACCCTGTCTCAAAAAAAGAAAAAGATGCTCATACCTAAGAACCACTTGCTCTCCTTAGCAAAAAAAAAAAAAGGACAGTCAGTCTATTTTTATATAGTTATTACCTGCCTTCTGTCTGTTTTTCTCTGTCTCTGTCTGTCTGTCTGTCTGTCTCTCTCTGTGTGTGTGTGTGTGTGTGTGTGTGTGTGTGTGTGTGTGTGTGTGTGTGTGTTTCTCTCCTTTTCTCTCCCTCTCTTTCTCCCCTTTTTGAGATACTGTAAGTTTTTGAGACCAACCTAGGGCTACACAGCAAAACCTTACTTAAAACAATGGCATCAACAATTTCTGAATCCCATTACCACAGAATCTAAAGGTCTTAGAGGAGCCCAGGAATCTACATGTTAATGAAATAGCCAGATAATAGAGATGTTTGTGGTGTTTGTAGACTCTTTTCTAAATAAACTTATATCGAGAAGTTTCTGTAGTCTTTTTTTTTTAGTTATTTAAAATACCATTTTTAACTTTTGGGCCAGGGATGGTGGGTGGCTCATGCGTGCCTATAATCCCAGCCATCAGGAGGCTGAGGCAGAAGAACTGCTAGGATTTTATGGCCAGTCTAGGATATACAGCAAAACCCTTTCTCAAAGATCTCTCTAAAATGCTTTTTCTCTTTTGACAGAAATTCAGTATGTGGCTGATATAATCAGATAGGGTAAAAAAAAAAAAAAATCCGAGCTTCATGCTCTTAAGAAAAGGATGGAAAGCAGGAATCTTGCGGGAGGGGAGAGCTAAACTGTTCAAATGGATGGATAATATGTAAGTGTTGTTCTATGAGTGAGAAGAAGTATGAAAAGGGGAATCACATTGTTGTTTGTAACACAGCACTATTCAGCCCAGGCTAGCTTCTAACTACCATGTACTACAGATGCCTTCAAACTGACAACCCTTTGCTTCAGCCTCCCTAGTGCTAAGGTTTCAGGTGTGCTTGACTAGGAACTAACATCAATGGCAGGAACATTTTTCTGAGTCGTCATAAACTGTAAGTGATCCAAATTCAAGAAAGCAAGCTAATGTGACCATTCAAATTCAAATGCTTCAAAACTTAGTATTAACCAACTTGAATAGTGGATTCACGCCAGTGACATTACACTGAATATAACTAAATATGAAGTTCGGTGAGGAGCTTGGTTATCATTTTGGTTTTGCTATTGCTGTTTGTGTTTTTGCTCTTTGAGACAGAGTCTCATAATGTAGCCATGGCTGGCCTAGAACTCACTATGTAGACCAGGCTGGCTTCAAATACAGAGCTATCCACCTGCTTCTGCGTCCTGAGTACTGGGATTAAAGGTGTGTGCCACCATGCCTGGCTTGTTTTGTTTTTGAGAGAGGGTCTCACTATATAGCCCTGGATGGCCTGGAACTCTTAGACATCTTCCTGTTTCTGCTCACTAGTGCTAGGATTAAAGGTGTGTGCCGCTGTGCTCAGTGGTGAAGTTTGGTCTTAGGTTGATTTTTTTTTAAATCTCTTAAGAATGGGAGTAGTGGTGCACACCTTTAGCTCCAGTACTCAGCAGGCAGGAGCAGGCAGATCTCTCTTACAAGTTTGAGGCCGACCTCATCTACATAATGAGTTCCAAGCCAGCCTGGGCTACAAAGTGAGGCTCTGTCTCAAAAAAGAAAATCATTATTATAGGAGCCAGAGAGAGCTCAGTGGTTAAAAACACTTGTTCTTGCAGAAGACTGAGGTCCAGTTTCCAGTACCCACATGACAGCTAACAACCACCTGTAACCCCAGTTCTAGGGGATCCCATGTTTCTCCTAACCAACACAGATACCTGCATGTTTGTGGTATATGTACACATACATAAAACAAAACAAAATAAATAAGTATTTTTAAATCTATCTTACAAATACAAAGTAGAAAAGAACTATAATTTTTTTTTTTTTTTGGTTTTTCGAGACAGGGTTTCTCTGTGTAGCTTTGCGCCTTTCCTGGAGCTCACTTGGTAGCCCAGGCTGGCCTCGAATTCACAGAGATCCGCCTGGCTCTGCCTCCCGAGTGCTGGGATTAAAGGCGTGCGCCACCAATGCCCGGCCAGAGAACTATAATTTTTTAAAAACAAAACAAATCCTCTCCCCATAAAAATCATGTAATAGGTCTACAGGATTTTATTATTGACATACTGAGAGTCAACACTGTCTCTTTTTAAAAGTGCAAAGTACAAGCCAAGGCTGCTTAGATGGAAAGTTCAAGTGAAGGAAGGGAATGTCCCACTGGACTCTGACAGAGCTGTGTGCTTCGAGTGGGTTCCACAGTTGCCCAAGGACATCGACAAAGCCAACGAGCCTTGGGAAAGGAAACCAGAATGAGAGGGCTGGGAAATCTTCCCATAGGGCCAGTTTCAGGCTGGAGAACAGATGTCTCTGTAAGGTAGCCATCTCCAAATACCTACAGATGGGGTTGAGAGTTGGCTCAGTGATGACAGGGTTAGTACTCTTGCATAGGACCTGGGTTCAGTTCCTAGCACCCACATCAGGCATCTTTTAAGAGCCTCTCACTCCCTCTTCAGAGATCCAACACCACTGGCCTCTCCTAGCACCCATATTTGCTCATACATACAATTACGAATAAAATACATCTCTTTTTAAGTAGTGCATAAATAGTTACAGAGGCTAGAAGTGAGAAAAAAGTTATTTCATACAGTTCCAGACAGGAGAGTAGAAATAATAGTCGAAAGAGACCTTGAAAAGTAGTGCATGGCGGCACATGTCCTTAATCCCAGCACTCAGGAGGCAGAGACAGGCAGATCTCTGAGTTCAAGACCAGCCTAGTCTACACAGTGAGTTCCAGGACAGCCAGGGCTATACAGAGGAACCCTGTCTAAAAAAAAAAAAGACTACTCACAGTCACCTGTTCCTACAAAGAAACCAAAAGACTGATGAGATTTACCATCAGAAGAAAAGTTAGGTGAGGTGACTTCTAAGGACTCTGGCAACTTGGATGCCACAGATTTCGAAAGTTTCTTGGGCCTCGGTGTTTGATGCAGGATCTAGAGACAAATGCTTCAAAAAGACTTTGCACAGGGCGGTGGTGGCGCAGGCCTTTAATCCCAGCACTCAGGAGGCAGAGGCAGGCGGATCTCTGTGAGTTTGAGGCCAGCCTGGTCTACAGAGCGAGATCCAGGATAGGCACCAAAACTACACAGAGAAACACTGTCTCTTTTTTCAATTTACAAAACCAGCAGAGGTGGGCCAGGGGTCACAGTTCAGTGTTAGAGCAAACTTGCCTAACATGCACAAAGCTCTGTGTGCAATCCTATATATGGGGGTTGGGGATTTAGCTCAGTGGTAGAGTGCTTGCCTAGCAAGCACAAGGCCCTGGGTTCAATCCTCAGCTCCAAAGGGGATGTGTGTGTGTGTGTGTGTGTGTGTGTGTGTGTGTGTGTGTGTGTGTGTGTGTGTATAACTATATATACCTATTTTTAAAGATACATGTTTATTTTACACATATGGGTGTTTGTCTGCATGTATGTGTACCATGTGCACATAGTGCCTGCTGAGGTCAGATGAAAGGATTGGATTCCCTGGAACTGGACTTACAACACACTGTGGACCTCCATGTGTGTACTCAGAACTGAACTCAGGTCTTCTACAAGAGCAGAAAATACTCTTATTAAAGTGTGTGTGTGTGTGTGTGTGTGTGTGTGTGTGTGTGTGTGTGTGTTTATGTGTATGAGTTCATTGCCTCTGTGTTTCTAAGTGTACCATGTGCATGCAGTGCCGGTGGAGGCCAGAAGAGGACATCAGAACCCTGGGAACTGGAATTACAAATGATTGAGAGCCACCAAGTGGGTGCTAAGAACCTCTTATCCCCTAAGCCACCTCTCTGGCACCCTCAAATAATACATACTTTAAACAAAACAACTAATGAAAAGCATAGCCTGTGCAATGCCCTGGGTTCAACCTCTAGTACAGAGAAGGAAAATAAGCAAACAAAAGGAACACTAGTTCCCATTGGAGAGATGACTCGGGAGTTAAGAGAACCAGGTGCTAGGACCCGAGTTCAGTTCCCAGCGCATACATGGCAGCTCACAAGTCTGTAGCTATGCTTTCAAAGGATCCAAAGCTTTCTTCTGGTTTCTTCAGGCACCAGGCATGTACACAGACATACGTGCAGGCAAAATATCCATACATATAAAATAAAAGAACAGTGGGCAGGACAGCTCAAGGCCCTAAAACAAGGTGCGAAGGATGCTGGTCAATTCCAGATGCACCAGTGTAGGGCACCAAAACGGATCTAAGTGCAAAGTGAGATGGTGGGCCATGCTCACTAGGTCAGACTAAAGCAACTTCAAGACTCCCATTCCGAGGGAGCATGCACAGAGTGTTGTTCTTTCCAACGGACTTGACAACTTTAGGGAATATAAGCCCCAAACATATTCTTGCATTCACACATCTAAGAATGAATTGTGGTTTAAGTGGCATTCTGAGGAAAGTGCCTCTTTCCTAGAAGTGACTGCCCTAGGGGAAGCGGCCCAGGGAGAAGACAGCAGAGAAGCTAGGATGCAGACTCCTGCTGCTTGGCTCCCTAGTACTTCTGGACACAAGACTGCTGTTGGGGTGGGCAGCAGAGGAAATGGATAACTTCTCCATAACAGGATCGCACCAGCTGTGGTTCCCTTGGAAGATGGAAGAGGGGCCTGTGAACCAAGGGCCCTTCATGAGCTAGAAAGGGAGATGGCACAGTCTCCCCAAGAACTTCCAGAAGAAATGCCAGCATGCTGACACCTTTTTAGGTCAGTGGACTTCCAGAATGGTACCACAATACGTTTGTATTGTTTTTTGTTTGTTTTTTTTTTAAGATTTTTTTTTAGGTTTATTTATTTTATGTGCACAAATGTTTTGTCTGCATGTATGTATGTGCAACAGGTGCCTGTCTGGGGCCCTCAGAGGTCAGATCCTCTGGAAATGGAGTTACAGATGGTTTGAGCCACCACGTGGGTTCTGGGAATCGAACCTGGGTCTTCTGTAAGAGTAGCCAGTGCTCTTAACCACCAAGCCATCTCTCCAGCCTGTTTGTATTGTTTTAAACCATCCCATACGTGCTAACTTGGTGAATCAGCAAAAGAAAAAGAAATGTGTGCCTTTTATGGGGAAAGCAGTGGGTCGTTGATTATTTTACCTTGGAAATTAACATTTAGAACATGTTAACTGGAAAGAGAGTTATTTATATTTTTGTCTTCTCTCTTCTTTCTTTTCTTTTACTTAACAAAAAATCCAGAAGGGATGGTGGAGGAGAAGAGGTGTGTGTTGGGGGTGGGGAGGTGAAGGAACTATCAACATGGGGAAGAGAGGGAGGGAGAGGAGTGGGGAGAAGGGATTGAGAGGGCCAGGGATGGGGGAGAGGGGAGAAGGGCAAAGGAGAGGGCAGGAGCAGAGGGAAAGGAGGAAGAGTGGGGGACAGGAGTGAATGGGGAAGGGAGAAGCAGAGGTGAGGCGAGTGGAAGGGAGAGGGAATGGGCAAGAGGTGAGGAAATGGAAGTTAGTGGGGGAAGAAGGTAGGAGAAGAGCTGTGGAGTGATGGCAGGAAGGTGGAGGATGGGTGTGGAACCGGGGAGGAAGGGAGGAGTCGCAGGAAGGGTGTGGGTGGTGTATGGAAAGGGTAGGGTAGGGAAAGAGAGTGGGGGCCATAGAGATAGGGAGGTGAGACAGGAGGGGAAGCGGGGAGAGGATGGGAGGAGGACAGCTGAGGAAAAGGGGCAGAAGAGGTAAAGAGGGGCTGGTAGAGAGAAGGTGATGAAAGGCCAGAGAGGGGAGGGGAGGAGGGGGTGGAGGTGGAAGGTGGAGGAAGTGTTGGGGGTGCAGGGGATGGTAATGTAAAATGGAAATGCTGGGAGGGGAGAGAGGGAGAGGAGAGGAAGTGAAAAGGTTGTAGAGCTATAGGGGGACATGGGCAGGGGGGAAGAGAGAAGAGGAAGTGAGGGGAATTGGGTAGGGGTGGTAGCTAGAATGGAGGAGAGATGGAATCAAAAGGTAGAGGAATCAGGGAGTGGAGGGAAGAGGTGAGGTGAGGAAAATAAAACCCAGTCACGGGGTGTGGGCACATGCTGGTCTTCTCAGTCGTCTCAGGACTTACACTTCTCTCCCTCCTGGAGCCTGCAAGTCTGGACAGTGACTCTGTGGGCATTTGGGGGCCCTGGCTCCATTTATAGCACAGTGGTACCTTCTGTGACTCAAGTTCTAGAAAGCCGACTTAGATGCGTCTTCTAGTAACTTCTGTCGGGCTCAGCAGCTACTCCAGCCAGTATCCTGAAGTTCAGTCAGCAGTGGAGGTGGAGCTAAAATCTTGTTACCATTACTTATCCATTTGTTTATTTATTTAAAGACAGACTTTCCTTGTCTATCTCCTGCCTCAGCCTCCTGAGCTCTGGGCTAACAGCTTGTGCCGCCACAACTGGTTTCTACCATTTGTTGATTCAAGCAGCTTGGCTCCCCTCTGTCAGTAGCTCTTCTTCAAGACCTTGGTGCGAGCTCTTTTGTCGGTCTGGGGCATTCTCCCTTCAGATATTTAGATGGCTAGCTACTAGCTTAATCATCACTTATTTTTTTTTTGAAATCTATTTATTTTATTTATTTTCAGTGTATACATGTTTTTCTGCATGCATGTGTGTGCTCCATGCCCAGGGAGGCTAGATGGGGGGCATCGGATCCCCTGGAACTGGAGTTATGGATGGTTATGAGCTACCATGTGGGTGCTGGGGGTTGAACTGTCACTTTCTTAATGACTCCTCTATTTAATGATGAGCCCATAACACACAAACACACACACTTTCAAATTCCCATTCCTGTCCTATTTTTTATAGCACTTACCTCCTTCTAACATAAAATAACACTGTTTCAAATCTAGTATATCTTCCCTCATTAAAACATTAATGCCCAGCCGGGCAGTGGTGGCGCATGCCTTTAATCCCAGCACTCTGGAGGCAGAGCCAGGCGGATCTCTGTGAGTTCAAGGACAGCCTGGTCTACAGAGCGAGTTCCAGGAAAGGCTCCAAAGCTACACAGAGAAACCCTGTCTCGGAAAAAATAATGCCCAAAGTGAAGGGATTTATGTCTTTTGTTTTTACTAATATTAATGTAAAGAACCAAGAATAATGCATGCTAAATAATTAGTCCTCAGAAAATATTGAATGAATCAATCTTTCTCCTCTGCCTATATTAGACTAGATCCTAGGGTAGGGCTATAGAAGAAACAAGACAATGTGTGGTTTAAAATATGCCTGTCCAAATATTACATACATATCTGATTACATTTTGGCTAACCTGAGCTATAAACACTTGGAGGCAAGTATACTGCCTATCTTTAATTTTTGCTCAACTTCTGAGATGCCCAGCCCTTCCTCCCTGTGTCCCTACCCTAATTGCTATTCTAATGGACACCTGTTCTTTCCAAGTTCATCTTCACTACTCAGTGCAAAGGGTGTTACGTCATTCTTTCACACAATCTGGGTACTTAAGGAAGCAAACGTATATGTACATTGTTGAAACCCTGTGGACAAATACGAAAGAAATTATTTAGAAAAATAATTTTGTGGGTTGTTTGTTTGGGTTTTGAGACAGGGTCTCTCTATGTAGCCCTGGCTGGGCTGGGACTCACTATGTAGCCCAGGCTGGACTGAGACTCTGTATGTAACCCAGGCTGGACTGAGACTCACTATGTAGCCCAGGCTGGACTGAGACTCACTATGTAACCCAGGTTGGTTGTGTTTTGTTTTTTTGGTTTTTGTTTTTTTAACCTATATTTGAAGGAAAACTTCAAAAAAGTCTCAGTGTTCAAAAGTAAGGCTTAGGTGTTCAAACGAACTTGACTCTAATAAATGCGAATGCAAACTTATAAACATAGATTGGTTAGGGAGTGGCTATTAGCATTTCAAAGGATGCCTCACCTCATAGAAAGAATCCACTAAGGGCTAGTTTTCTCAGCTTGTTCAAATGAAAGAGAGAGAGAGAGAGAGAGAGAGAGAGAGAGAGAGAGAGAGAGACCCCAAAATGGAGAAACTGGGTTTATGTGAGCTTATGTGATCCATATTCAACTCCTAAAATGGACCGTGAACTGGCTATTAAGTTACATGGGGGGGATAAGCTGTATCTCAGTTGTGGAGCACTTGCCTACCATGTGAGAGAAACTTTGGGTTCAGTTCTCTCAGTACCACTAAAATAAAATAAGTTTTCAGTCAAGTTGGAAAATGCTGGCATTGTGATGAGGAGAAATATTTTAGAAACAAAATTGTTTAGTGACAATTTCTTTTTATATAGAATTAATTTAATTTAATTTAATTTTGGTTTGGTTTTTCGAGACAGGGTTTCTCTGTATTGTAGCTCTGGCTGTCCTGGCACTCGATTTGTAGCCCAGGCTGGCCTCGAACTCACAGAGATCCGCCTGCCTCTGCCTTCCGAGTGCTAGGATTAAAGGTGTGCACCACCACCACCCGGCTTATTTTTAATTTTATGTACACTGTTGTTTTGCCTGCCAAGTATGTATATATAAGGGTATTAGATCCCCTGGAACTGGAGTTACAAACAGTTGTGAGCTGCCATGTTGGTGCTGGGAATTGAACCTGGGTCATCTGGAAGAGCAGTCAGTGTTCTTAATTACTGAGTCATCTCTCTAGCCCTGACAATTATTTCTTAAAAGCCTGTAACAAAAAATGGAAAACATCACATCATTAACAGATTATTTCCTAGTACAGAGATTAAAAATGTTCTCCATTCTGTCTTTTGAGTTGCCCAATTGTCCATATTTTCAATAATGAGCATGTAAAGATGAAAACAAACTTTTAGGAGCTGGAGGGAGGACTCAGCAGTTAAGAGCACTTGCTGCTCTTGCAGAGGACCCAGGTTCTCTTCTCAGCACCTTTATCAGATGTCTCATAACTACCTGTAAAATGGACGTAGAGGTGCACGCCTTTAATCCCAGCTCTCAGGAGGCAGAAGGGTCTTTGTGAGTTTGAGACCAGCCTGGTCTACATAGTAAGTTCCAGGACAGCCAAGGCTATAAAGAAAGACCCTGTCTGAAAACAAACAAAACTGCCCATGACTCCAGCTCCAGGGGATCTGACACCCTCTTCTGGCTTCCATGGACACTTGCATTCATGTGCCCATATCTACACACAGAAGCACATATATACGTACCTTAATAAACTTTTAAAAGCGAAAGCCAAAGTTTGATTTATAAAAAATCTATTTATAAAGAACTGTAAGGAGAAGGAGAAAAAAGTCTCAAGATAATTGTTTATCAAATCCCTTAAAATGTCTGCAGGGAGGGCAGTTGCAATCTGACTATATAACACAAACCAGCCTTGAATTAATTCGAGGTGCTTAATGCCCATGCCTCCCAGGCATTACAGGTGTCCACAACTACACTCAGCTTTATTTCTTATCAAATCTTTATGTAATTCTTCAATTGGGTTAGGAATGGGTCTGTAGATAATGTACATCATAATGACAAGATTTGATAACTGTATTCTATGACCCCCAATTGTTGAAAGTAGATTTTGTGTTCTCATCACAGAAAATATGAATGATAGATCATGCATATGTTCATTAGCTTGATTTTGCCATTTCAAAAAAAAAAAGTAGCCACTGGGGCTGGAGAGATGGCTTGTGCCTAAAAGCACTTATTACTTTTCCAGAGGACCCATGTTAGGTTCCCAGCACCCATGTCCTTTGCCACAACCATCTGTAACTCCAACTCCAGGGGGATCTGCCCGGTCAGGCACCTGTACACATATGCCTGTAGACACTTATACACATAATTAAAATAATAAAAATAAATATTTTAAAAACCACATATCAAACTATATTATACATTATAAACCAAAATGATCAATTTATATATTAATAAGTAGATATTTTTATTCATTAACAAAAAGAGAAGAAAGCAAGAGCAATCTATAATAATCCAGAATTAAGATAGAAAAGTAAGAAAATGTGTAGCCGTTGCTTCCCTGGGAAATCAGCCACATAGTTATTTTTAAAATCTTATTTTTTTTTTGTGGGCCTGAAATAAGTTAGGCTAAAAGAATTAGCTAGTTTGGTTTTAAAATAGTCTTGATTCCTGTTTTTCCAGACAGGGTCTCACTGTTTCCTAGGCTCGCCTCCAACTCAGGATCCTAAACCTGCAGACGCAGCGACCACTCCTGGCTTTCAAGTCTTGACTTTTATTTTTTTTAAAACTTCCGAATTATTTGTAGTTTGTGTCGAATAAGAAAGTTCCTTTTTAAATGTTCAAAAGCGGAAGACAGGACCGTGAAAGAAAAAGGGGAAGGCGGTGATGACAAACCAAGGAATTAAAGGCGGAGGTTCGGAGAAGTCGCTGAGTCAGGAACCGGACAATCACGTGAATAGTTGGTTAAAAAACGAAACTTAAGCGGACACAGCCTCCCGCCGCCTCCACTCCCTCTAGCTACTATTAATGGCGGGGATGTAGGGTTCAGAGTGTCTTTTGCTTTGTCCCGTGGGCGGAACCCAGGCTGAGGGTGGCGCGCCTTAAAGGAATGTGGAATGCGTTTGCAAGCGGTGGGGCGCAGAAGCTGCAGAGGAAAGCGTTGGCTTCTGGTGTCTCTTGCGTTCCAGATCATTACCCGCCCCTGTGGGTCCTGCCAACAGTCAAAACAACTTAGTTCAGCAGAAGGGACTATTGTACTTAGAGCGAATGTCTCCCTGTGCTCCGCTGCCTTCTTAGGCATTCTTCCAGGAGTTTTCTCCCCCTGCAGGCCTAGGCTTTAAATGCAGTTTGTTTTTACAGTGGGATGTTGCTTTATTCTTGGCATTGGCGCCAAGAGCGACATTCAAGCCCTACCAGTTAATTATGGCCTTTTCGAAAAAAGGGCTGTCCTTAGGTCTAAAGTTGGTGCTCCTGGCTTTACTGGCAGAAGATGTTTTTGAAGTCTTCGGCGTACCTACTCAACCAGCATCCGGTATGCAAGCATGAGCATGCCCGGAAGCCCAGTTTAACTTCTGGCTTGGCACATGACTTGGGTGGATCCACAGAGACATCACCATCGTTTTCTGCACCTAGTTTCTTTCAAAACTTACCAAACTATATACTCGAAATATGTGTAATTTACATGCCAACAAAGCTAGCTTCAAAAACCACACTCCCAGGATTCTATAATAAATATCACCCTAGCTTCTAAGTAACTAACAAGATGCCATACTATGTCTCTCTTTCTCTTTTAAAATCAGGTCTATTTTTCTTTTCATTGAGTAATTTGTTTACTTTAAAACCTTGAGTTTCTATAAATAGAGGAACATGGTTTTACTTGCAGAGTTTTTGATTTTCTATATATTTTTAAGGTGTTTTTTTTTTAATTTGTTTATTTGCACTGATGTATGTGTGTAAGGGTGTCAGATCCCCTAGAACTGGAGTTACAGACAGTTGTGAGCTGTCATGTAGGTGCTGGGAATTGACCCCAGGTCCTTTGAAAGAGCAGTGCTCTTAATGGCTGAGCCATCTCTCTAGCCTGCATAGTTTTTCATTAGGATATTACGTTAATGTTTTATTTGTTACTGTTATGAAAACTGAAGTGTGTGTGTGTGTGTGTGTGGTGGGGTACATCTGTGTACAGCTACAAGGTTGAGGAATTATAACATCGTGATTATGGAGAGATGAAATTTTGCAAACCCAGAACCAAACTCTCTTGAGTTTCTTTAATAGCTATTCATTGCCCAGCTATGTCAACATCCTTGACTATCATATGACGCCTTTGAGGGTGTATTAACTTAGATCACTAGCTTCCACCAACCCCAACATGAAAATGTCGTCAAAGAGAACCAGTATTCCGCCTAGCTGGTATTTCCACCATTGTCTTCGAAAAGTATCTTGATTTATGGTTTTATTTGCCAATATAAAAACTTCACAAAACTTACTGTGTGTTAAAATGATATTTGGAGCAACCTGAGTCTGTGTGCTGGGGCTGTGCTGGTTCCTATTTGTCTCCAGCATAAACTGCCTCTTGTTTCCTTTGAGCTGAGAGCTGTGTTTTTATGTTGATAGATGTGATATCAAAGAAAACACATTGTCAACATGCCTCAGTAGAAAGAAAGACACTGAGGTGGTGTCACATGCTTGTTACTACCAGCACTCAGGAGGCAGAAGCAAGAGGATCCCAAGTTAAGGCCAACTCAGGTTAGAGATGCCATTAGTGATCACCATTAACAACCTTCTGCCCCCAAAGAAAATAACCAGAATGACAAGAAGGAAAGGGGGAAAAAGACTAAACCATTAGTCTGGAGATTAGCTCAGTTGGCAGAATGCTTGCCTAGCATTCATGAAGCCCAGGATTGACCTCCAGCACTGCATACAGTAGTAGGCACAGTGGCTCATACCTATCATCTCAGCACTCAGAAGGTAGAGGGAGGAAGAGAAATTCAAAGCCACCCTCAGCTACATAGCAAGTTCAAGGCAAGACAGGGCTACCTAAGAACCAGTCTCAAAACAACCAAACAAAAACCTATTACGAACAGGTAGGCAGTAACACAATGTAGAAGTAAGAATCCCTGGCCAAGGCTCCAGGCTTCCACAGATCTGAATCCAAACTACACCACTTAACCGTTGCCAACCCCGAGGGTGATGAGATTAGTGATTTATTCTATCCAAGCCTCTGCTTCCTTAGGGAGTTCTTGAGTGAGCCAGTGTCAGCAGAGGAGGCAGTGAAGGATGGATTCTTTGGTTGGTGCCTTCACTCTTAGTTTGGGTCTCAAATACGGGTTGCTGCCTCATAATATATTTGTGTGTAGAATTGCTAAGAGAATAAGGATCATCAAAGTGGATCTTAGGTGAATTCGATTGATAGATAAGGTGGGGGTGGGGATGGGGGTGGGGGGTTTCTTGGTGAGTGTCATCAGAGTTAGTTTCCCCAGCTTTGAGGACTTTCAAAGTCAAATAAGATAATAGTGATGATAATAGGTCTGAACAGTAGCTGATGCATAGTACTATGAAATCAGTGGTACTTATTTTATTTTGTCATCATCATTGGTGGCAGAACCATCTATCTCATAATATCATTGTGAGCAGACAGTATAAATGAAAGGAAGAAGGTAAAGTTCCTGGCGGAGTGCCTGAGATATAAGGCTGAGCTGGAATTAGTTCTCATCCCTCTTCTGAGTGCTCCCTCCTCATCCAGCCCACTTCATGAAGCTTTCCCTGCTCCATGTTCTCCAGCTCAACAAATGTAGACTTTCTTGTTGTTGTTTTGGAATCTCTACCAAGTATAGATCAAGGTGTGGGAGACCTGACTTCCTGGCACTGAATTACAGGGAAGCATTAAGCTTGCCTAGAGGTGGTATTCTGGACTCTAGATGTTTAAGTCTAGTTCCTTGTGGTGGTTTGAATGAGAATGAACCACATATGAATATTTGGTCCCCAGTTGGTGGAGCTGTTTGGGAAGGATTAGTAGGTGTGGCCTTGTTGAAGGAGGTGTGTCCATGGGGGTGGGCTCTGGGGATTCAAAAACCCATGCCATTTCCAGTTTGTTCTCTCTCTCCCTGTGCTGTCGGATTAGATGTGAACTCTCAGCTACTGCTCCAGTGCCATGTCTGCCTGCCTGCTGCCATGCTCCATGCCAATCATGGTCATGGATAAACCTTCTAGAACTGTGAGCCCGAAATTAATTGCTTTCTTTTAGAAGCTACCTTGGCCACGGTGTTTTAGCACGTAGAAAAGTAACTAAGACATTCCTAAAAGGTCAGGATGTGGCTTGTCACAAGTTGGGCTTTGCAAAAGCAGACACTGAGGTGGAACTGGAGGTGTGAAGTGTGTGCATTTAGAGATTAGTCACTGTGAAAGGAAGAGGTGGGAAGGCAGATGACGCAAAAGAAAAAGCTGAACTTCAACACCAGCTCAGCAAGGCGTGGACCAAACCTCCAGGAGAGTGTAGCTGAGTGTTGCCATTTGGAGTGGCTCCTGTGAGCTGACACACTGTTGCCCACGGTTCCTGAACGGTGCCTGTTTAAAAATGCTTGTTAGCCGCCACGCCCTTCCACGTACTCAGCAGAATCTCTGGAGTTTGAGTAAGCTTCCCGAGCATCGCCACTGCTTCTTCTGCAAGGTCCATTTGAGAACCCAACCGAGGGTAGATTAGCAAAGGACATAGATTACCCTCCCCAGGTCAAGATGGAGCACCCTCACTGTTGCAAGCTGGAGGAGGGAATGCGCCAGTCAGCACTCTCCCATGTAAGACTCAGATGACAGAAATGGCAAGCTCAGTAAGAAGGGAACCGATAGCACATGCCATCAAGATATGTGCACGAGTCAGTTCTTGAACATACCAGACAGTCACCATCACTTAGAATGAGTCATCCATTAAGTGCTGAGGAGACACAATAAAGAAAGGGCAATCTGAGTGGAACCCTGCGTAACAGAAATAATGTGGCCTCTCTCAGGGTCCAGAGATAGAATTCAGTGGATGCACACGGAATTCAGGGGATGCACACAGTGGGACAGGAAAAACAGAGCACAATCATCTAAACCAGTGGTTCTCACCCTTCCAAATGCTGTGACCCTTTAATACAGTTCCTCATGCTGTGGTGACCCCCAACCATAAAATTATTTTTATTGCTTCTTCATAACTGTAATTCTGCTACTGTTATGAATTGTAATGTAAATATCTGATATGCAGGATTTCTGATATGTGACCTCTGTGAAACGGTTGTTCGACCCCCATAGGTATCGGGACCCACAGGTTGAGAATCACTGATCTAAACTAATCTTCAACCAAAGTTCATGACTTCCTTAAATCATGAATATAGTAGACACAAGTGCTTGAATTCGCATAGCTCCACCAGCCTCAGCCTCCCTAGTGCTAGGATTAAAGGCAGGCACTGCTTGGTGTACTGGTCAGTTGTTCCTTGGCTTAGATCCTAGTCGTTCTCAACCACAGGAGGAACATATCAGATCTCCTGCATATTAGATATTTGCATTGTGGTTCACAACAGTAGCAAAATTACAGTTATGAAGTAGCAATTTTATGGCTGGGGGTCACCACAACATGAGGAACTGTATTAAAGGGTTGCAGCATTGGGAAGGTTTGAGAATCACTGGCTAGTTCTAAATGTGAGTTTCAGAAGCAGTCAGGTTAGTAAGACCAATGGAAGACTTGAAAATTTGCAGGTCAGCTGTACATGGCATAAGTGTGAGAAGCCTCAGAATGTACAGGAAGTGGTTGGAACGTTC